TCAGAGTGTGGATTTTTCTTTCAGAGGGCCAAGGTTTAGCTCCCATAGCTCCCAGCACCCAAGTCGGATGGCTCACGGGCACCTATAACTCCAGTCAGCCCCAGGAAGATCTATACCTCTAGCACCAGCCCTCCTGTCCACAAACTTACACACACCACACACACACACACACACACACACACACACACACACACACACACACACACACAATGACTTGGCTGTTATTAGCTTGTTACCTCAACAGTTCAATTTTTCATTTGTTATCATAGAGACAATATTGATACAGTCAGTCACAGCATTGTTCTGGCCAGCAGCTTCAACTTGCTTGGCAACCATGTTCATCACCAAATCATCAACAAACACTGAGTTCACTGACATGGTGCTAGCAACTGGACAGGCAGAGAAAGGTTGGCGGGCGTGAGGGAGGATGGGCTGTGAGCGTCCTGATGCACCCTCAGACAAAACAGCAGCCTTTATTTCATCTGAATGGCTGCTTTGTGGTAGATGTGGGCTCTATACTTATGAAACTAGCTTTAATCCAAACCCAGGGTAGGCCTATTGGGTGAGACTCCCCCTTTTGGAGTACAGCCCAGGGTTAACCACAGCACCAAGTAGACTTCCCAGAGTCCTCCCTTTTCCTAGTAATTGCCTGGCCTCCCAGAGAGAGTTGTTTACATGGATCCCTTGAAGTGCCCTTAAGATAAGAAAAAAATCCAGACTTGTTTTCACTGTGCGGCCTCTCTGGCACCAGCATTTTTAGTCAAGTACGAAGAGGTGAACTCTACTAAGAGTGTTCTAGCTTGTAAACTCCAGGAAAGAGGAGAGAATACAGGCTATTTCCCCAGGTCTACAGGAGTGCCTAGCAATGTTAGATACTTAAAAAACACATGTGGATGGATTAATGAATTGTCTTCTTTTTCCCTCTCTTGGTTTCTGATCTGGGGAGTTTAAAACCAAGAAATAAGGCCTTCAGTAAGATGGAGGAAAAGGGCAGGGATTGAGGCTTCTCTCAAGGCAGTAGGAGCTGTTCCTAGGAGGCATGGGTTGAGATGGATGGAGTCTGTTTGGGTTGCCAGGGAGTCCCTGTAGCAGAAGAGGACCACAAAAAGCAACAGGCAGCAAGACACTGAAAACATAGGCTCAGGGCTCGTATAAAAGATCCGTGTAGCCGGGCATTGGTGGCGCACACCTTTAATCCCAGCACTTGGGAGGCGGAGGCAGGCGGATCTCTGAGTTCGAGGCCAGCCTGATCTATAGAGCTAGTTCCAGGACAGCCTCCAAAGCCACAGAGAAACCCTGTCTCAAAAAAACAAACAAACAAACAAAAGATCCAAAGTGTTGGAGCAAAGTTCTAAACTATCTCTGGCGATAATTGAAGCAAGACATGACTCCCTGAGAGACTGCGAGCAGAGACTGGAGACTGAGGAGGAACCTAGAGACCTGGCATGAACCTCCGGGTTCACTCCCAGCAACACAAAACAGAATCGTGCAAGCTGGCCAATGTTTCCTAAGAAATACCGTCTCAAAACATTGCCTCAGCCTCGGCCTCTCCAGTTTCATAAAGTAATATCCTAATTAACCTTGAAAAAGTAAGCTTTTGGGGGGCTAGGGCATTGGTTCAGCATTTAAGAGCACCAGTTCCTCTTTAGAAGGACTGGATTTGATTCCAAGCACCCATAGGCTCACTCATAAAAGTTTATAACTCCTGTCTCAAGGACTCTGACCCCCTCTTCTGACCTCTCCAGACACCAGGCATACACAATGTACATACATATATTCAAGCAAAACACTGAGGCACACAAAGTAATAAATCAATTTAAAATAAAAACCATTGAGGTAAGCATTTGGGGACTGGAGATGTAGCTCTGTTGGTAGAGTGCTTGTCTCGCATGCATGAAGCCCTGGTGTGATATCCAACACCACAGAAACTGACGTGGTGGTAAGCCTCAAATCCTAGTACTGCTGAGGTGGAGCAGGGGATCAAAAGTTCAGTATCATCCTTGGCTGCACAGTGGGTCTGAGGACAGCCTGACATATGTTAGCTCCTGCCTCAAAAAACAAAAATAAAACAAAACGGGTAAACATGCTTGAAGATGAAATTCAAACAGTACTTGCCTAGCATTGTGTAAGACCCCCCCCCCAGTTTCATCCCAGCATCCAAAAACATTAACCAGTAATAATAACAACCCCCCCATGGTGTTGTACACCCTTAATCCCAGCACTAAAGAGGCAGGGGCAGGTAGATCTCTGTGAGTTCCAGGCCAGACTGGGCTACATATTTACTTCCAGGCCAGTCAGAGCTATAAATATAAAAATTGAGAAAGGGGCTTGGAATGTAGTTCAGTCCCCTGGGTCCCTTCCCCAGCAATAAAACCCCCAAAAAAAAAGGACAAGGAGGAAGAAGAGGAGGAGGAGGAGGAGGAGGAGGAGGAGGAGGAGGAGGAGGGAAAAAGGACAACAGGAAACTCTCCAAGTTTCTTCCTCCTGACGTTTGCTTTCATCTCAGTCATGAATGAACATGGAAGAAACTTGACAAGAAGCTTCCCCCTCCTCTTCTTGGTTTACATACAGAAAACAAAGGCTGACTGTTGTTGTTGGAATTTGGGGCAGTCTCAGTGCTAAGGCCTGGATACCCTAGTATTCTATAGGTAACCCAGATTGGCCTGGACTTGGGAGTGAGCCTCCTGACTCGGCCTCCCGAGTAATGGGGTCACAGGTGTGATGCCCCCTCCTTTGTTTTATAATATTTTTACATGTATGTAATGTATTTTGGCCATATTCACCCTGTTGCCCTCTGGCCCCTCTACCTGTCCCACTGGTCTCTCATGTCTTCTAAAATAACCCCTTTAAAAATTGAGATTCCCCACATGAGAAAAGGTGTGTGATAGCTGATCTTTTGAACCTGGGACAGGATGGCCTCCAGTTACCTGAAAATGACATAATCCATTCATCTTCATGGCTGAATGAGACTGTGGTGTGTGGCTTGTAATGTCTTCATCTGCTCATCTGCTGTGGATTCTGTGACTTCTTCCTTTTCATATAAGCACTGACCAGTTCCCAGGGTTCATCTCATTCAAACTGGTCGTAAATTTCTCAGTCAGAATTCAGTTGCACAGCCTGCATTTGGGGAGAGCCCGATGCATTGTGCTCATCTCCGAACCCTCATCCTTTATCTGCTTACTCAGCAGTTTATTAAAGCAGTGAGGCCTCGCTTTCTGAGGACGCCCTACATTCTGATCTAAATACAGATGGAATCATGACTGAGCCCTGTCTTCAAAGGGCTCACAGTTAAAGATGGGGAAGGTGAACCTACGGGCAGGTAACAGACATAGATATTAATAGCTTTGCTGAAAGATCCTGTGGCAAATATAGCATTACGTTAAAGGTGTGTGAAAAAGTAAGTTATTTGAATGCCATCCTATGGTTGGATATCATTTTGTCCACTGGTGCTCTGAAAGTAAGGGAAGGCGGCATTATTTCTCTTGCTTTTTCTCTTTGGTGCTGGGGACAAAAGCCAGGGCCTTTTGTGTGCAGGACAAGTACTCTGCTGCTTAGCTACCCTCTCAAGGTGAGGGATTGTCTCCAAGCGTAGAATACAGTGGTGAAGGAGTTGCGGCGGGCAGCTGCAGAGGAGGCTGAACTTGACCTTGGACTGAAACAGTGGGTATGACTGTATCTGAGTATGCGCTGCGTGCCAGGCCCTGAGTAAGGGCTCGCTAACATGAGCTCATTTAATTCCCACTATATGTGTGGTGAGTGTAGTCATTTATGAGGAGACTGAAGCATGGGTGGCTAAATAGCATGTTAGAAATCAAGGCAGCCTGATGTCATATATATAATTAGAGTATGTAGCCATTTTAGACTTCCTGCTACCCCTGTATCTTTTCATTTCTGTTTTACTACTGAATGCTATGCCATTGTTTATACCACTTTACTTATCCAATGAGTTGAACCAAATAGTTGAACCAAAAAGTACAAAGTTGGTTATAAAAAGTGAGGCTATGGAATTCAGTTTCAAAGAGGGAGGAGAGAGGACCAAATGAACCAAGACGGAACTGGAGATACCTGCAAAATCGGTTGACCTAATGAGAGCACGCAGACCCTAGTTGTAAAGTGGGGGAACCAGCATTGGACCAAACCAAGCCCTCTGAATGTGGGTACCAGCTAAGAGACCAAGACAATCTGTGGAACTCTAACGGTGGAGCCAGGTTTTATTCCTAGCCCACAAATGGACTTGGGGAGCCCATTCCCAATGGAGAGATACTATTGCAGTCCAGATACAGAAAGGAGGGCCTGGGCCCGCCCCACAAATGATGTGATGGATTTTGATGATCCCCCATGGAGGGTCTCATTATCCCTGGAGAGTGGGTGGTGGGTAGGTTGGGGTGTCGGTGGGAAGCAAGGGAGGGTGGGAGGGTAAGGGAATGGGGGACGGATATGTAAATAAGAATGTTTCTAAAAATAAATAAATAAACAAACAAATTGCCTTTATTAGAGAAAAAAGTGAGGCTACATCTCAGTGTGGGCACAGACTGGGAATGGTCATGAATGCCCGTGGATCCCAGCACCCAGAAAGTGGAAATGGAAGAACAATAAGCCTAAGGTCGTTCTCTGTCACACAGCGGATTAAAGGCCAGCCTGGGCTACATGAGACTCTGTTAAAACAGACCACCTTGATTTCTGAAGGAATGAACCGGAAGCTCCGAGTGGATTTGGAGAGGGAAGTGGGTGTCTAAAGGGCCCTGGGTTAGTGGCCTCCAGGGGGAAATTGCGTTCATCCATTCGGCTGTTGGTGAGAGCCCTCAGCGTCAGGGTTACAGGTGCTAGAGAAAACAGGGGCCAGCCCTTTACTTCTCAGAGATTACACTTTGGCTGGGTGCAAGGGCTATGGTTGCCCCTGGTCCACCCTGCTCTGTATCTGTCCAGGCACGGATCAGGATGGGGAACTGGCCCCAGCTGAACACAAGGTCACTGTGGCTCTCTCTTATCTCTCTGAGCAGATCGAAGAAGGGGGAAAAGCTGACGTGGAGGGCTCCGGACTGCAAGCCGGGGACGAGGTCGTGCACATCAATGAAGTGGCCCTGAGCAGTTCCAGGAGGGAGGCTGTCTCCCTGGTGAAAGGGTCCTACAAGACCCTCCGGCTGGTGGTGCGCAGGTACGTGCACTGGTGCCCGCCCTGTCCCCTCTAGCTCGGCACTGTCACTCTTAGACAGGGGGTGCTGTGGTCATACAGGTTTTTCTTTTCCTTTCTTCTTACCCATGCTGGTGTATGGGACAGGAAGTGGAGTGAAGACATTTGGACACTGTGTCTCTTTTGAACCTTCCCCCATTTTCAGAGTTAGTATTGGCTTGTCACAGAGGAGCTTAGCTGTCCTTCCTAAACTCAGTTTGATGAAGGCTGATGCATCCCTGGTGTGGCTGGAGCTGTAGGCAGCTCTGTGTTCTGGATCTAGAGAAAGTTGTTGACTTGGAGCTAATTGAGTAACGTTTTGTTAGCCCTGCCTACGACTCAGGGCTGAAATACTGGTGGGTTCCTCTTGTTTGGACATCTTAGGAGTGATGAACCCTTTTTTGGGAAAGGCTCATTTGCAATTTTTAAAATTAGTGTGTGTAGCCGGGCGTTGGTGGCGCACGCCTTTAATCCCAGCACTGGGGAGGCAGAGACAGGCGGATCACTGTGAGTTCGAGACCAGCCTGGACTACCAAGCAAGTTCTAGGACAGCCTCCAAAGCCACAGAGAAACCCTGTCTCGAAAAACCAAAAAAAAAAAAAAAAAATTAGTGTGTGTGTGTGTGCGCGTGCCATATGCATGCAGGAGCCTGAGGAAGCCAGAAAAAAGGTATCTTTAAAAAATTATATTGATTATTTGGGAATCTCACATCATGCACCCCAATCATGCTCATTTCCCAGTCTTCCCCACTTTCCCTGTGACCTCCCCCGTCCATACCCACCAGAACCTGGTCAAATTCCTAGTGGCTGCCCTCCAAGGGAGGCGGAGTCTTTCTCCACCTGCATCCATGCCAGAAGCCATCAGGTAAAGACATCAGTGCAGTGGCTGGAGAGGTGCGGGCCAGCTCTCCTTCCAGGGGCAGGGAAAGGGAATCTTAATCCCCTGGAGTTACAAAAGGTTGTGAGCTACCATGTGGGTGCTGGGAACTAAACTTGGGTCCTCTGCAAGAGCAGCAGGTATTTCTAACCACTGAGCCACCTCTCCAGCCCACTGCTTGCAGTTTTGATGTCTCGTAGTATCAAGGCCTTGCTCTCCAGGAGTCAACTCTTGGTTAATGGAATTATCTATGGAAAATGGAAGGGACGTGGTTTATTCATCCCTGTTATAAACCAAGCACATCTGAGGTGTTTTCCACATGTTGATTCATTTAGCCTATACTAGAACCCCAAGAGAAGAGGTCAGAGATAAAGGTGTCTGCTGCCAAGTCTGATTACCTGAGTTCAATTTCCAGGACCCAAATCATAGAAGGAAAGGACCATCCGGATCCTGATCTCCACACTTGTTGCCATAGTACACACATATGCATATATAGATACACATAAGTAAGTATAATCTTAAATTGGTTTTAAAAGAAAGTCCTCTCGAGGTCCTGAGTTCAATTTCCAGCATCCACATGGTGGCTCACAACCATCTATAATGAGATCTGGTGCCCTCTTCTGGCCTGCAGGCTTACATGCAGGCAGAACACTGTATACATAATAAATAAATAAATCTTAAAAAGAAAGTCCTCTCGATATAGCTCTCACTGTGACCACTTTGCAGGAAAGAGATAAAACAAGTCCCTGAAGGTCGTGGGGCTGACAAGCCTGGACTGCCTGGTCCCGTGTCATCGTGGGGAGTGGGGGGACATAACTTGAACTCCCGAGGCATGAGCCTGAACGTTGTCTATACTTGGATACTTCTTTACTAATAGAGTTTCTTGCAGGGCGGTGGTGGCGCATGCTTTAGTCCCAGCACTCAGGGGGCAGAGGCAAGCAGAACTCTGTGTGTTCGAGGCCCAGCCTGGTCCATAAGAGCTAGTTCCAGGACAGGCTCCAAACCCACAGAGAAACCCTGTCTCAAAACTTGACTCTCCCCCCCCAAAAAAAGAGTTTCTTCTGCTTCCCTTGGAATCCAACGTTACAGTATTTAAGAATGTTCTCCTGTGTTGGAACTTTAGGGGACACCAATCAAGCCCCACCACTTTCAAGCTGTGGAAGGTAATGCGGGTTTCTGTCACCTCGGAGACCCCTTCCTTGCTCCCGCAGCAACTCATTCCATCATGGAAGCCATTTCCCTGATGAATCTTGATTGGAACCTACCTCCTCCCAGTCATAGGTCATAAATCCAGAAAATCCGCCTGCTGTCTCTCCAGGGTGATGATTTGCTCAGGGTGCTGGTGTGTCTGCCTATCTCTTTAGGGCCATCAGCCCCAAGTTGCTTCTCTGGCTGTCAATGGGGCAGAGTGGCCAGTAAGCAAAGTCTCCAGTCAAATTAGAGCAGGGTGCAGATATTGTGGTCAACACCTTCTGTGTGTAATTATTTAACCTCAGTGAAGGTTCAGATTCTTCTTTGATTTTATCATTATTTGTTTGTTTTCAGATAGGGTCCCACAGAACTGGCCTAGAATGCAAAATATAGCCTAGGCTGGTCTTAACCTCATCTTTGTGTCTTTACCTTCCAAGTGCTGGCCTGATAGGCTGATGCACCATATCTTCAATTGTTTTCTTGTTGCTTAGTATTATTTATGTGTGTGTTTTGCCCGCACATATATGTACCATATGCATGCAGTGCCCAAAAAGGCCAGAAGAGGGTGCTGGATTCCCTAGAACTGGAGTTACAGATGGTTGTGAGCTGCCAGTCCTCTGCAAGAGCAGCCAGTGCACTTAACCATTAAGTAGCTCTCCAGCTTTCCCAGCACTCGGAGGCAGAGGCAGGCGGATCTCTGTGAGTTCAAGACCAACGTGGTCTGTAAAGGGAGTTCCAGGACAGCCTCAAAAAAAAAAAAAAAAAGCTCTCCAGCCCACATATTTATTTTCAGACAGCATCTTATTATGGTTTCTTCATCTTTAGTTGAGGATTAAAATACTTGCTTTATGTCATGATATAAAAATGACCTATGTCTACCAAATGAGAGGTAGATAAAGAAAATGTGGTGTATATATATATATATATGCAAACAATTCACATATGTAAATCATGTAATATGCAACACACACACACACTGGGACAGTATTCTGCACTAAGAGGAAGGCAACTATACCATTTACAACATAAACTAGAGAACCTTGTGTTCTCCACACAATGAAAAGAATAGAAGGGCATACTCCAGTCTCCCCGGTGGATGTCGTGAGGGAATTCCTAAAGGAATAAAGTAGGAGGGCAGTTGCCTGAGATGAAGGTGAAGGGAAAGGCAGAGATGCTGCTCAAAGGGCACAGACTTCAGTGAGGAGGTGAAAGAGGCCGTTGTGAGACCTGTATCCTACAGTGGGGGGGGTGGAAGTTGTTGAGGATCATAAAGTGAATTTAAGTCCGACTGGGGTCAGTTGAACCCTCTCTCCAAAAAACCAACCAAGCAAGACAAGTGAGTTCTCAGGACTTGATATGTAGCCTGTGACTATTATTGCCGATACTGTGTCAAATATGTACAATTTGCTGAGAGAACTCTCAGACGTCTTCACCAGGAGCATGTCTGAATGCATCCATCACAGCCACATGCATGCAAGGGTTTTAGTGCGGTGTGTGGTTAGTGTGAGCGCTGGTTAATTTGATTGTAGCAGTCATTACATAGCACATACATTTATCAAATCTTTATGCTACCCATCTTGAATATATGTGGTTTCTCAGTGGAAAGGATTCAGAGAATTGAACCGAGCCCTCACTCATGTTGAGAAGATGTTCTACTCCAGAGGTACCGTCGAATGGTCATGTATGTGACTGCCTGCTTATCCAGAAGCCCCTGTCATGTTCCCTCGGTGAATTTATCACAGTTTTGGGATCTGTGATCTGTTTATAGGTCTCAAGTTGGCTGTGGGCATCCCAGAGCTTGGGAGATTTAGGAGTGTAAAGTCACATTATATGAGCTCACAAGCAACTGGAGTATAAACTGCATTGGCCATGTGCTAACTCATTTTGAAATGGATCAAGACTCAGTCTAATTCATCGCTACAGGAATACTGAAAGGGAAGCTGATGACCTCTGCCTGGATTTAGAGAGTGAGTCTGTGGTTGCTGACGTGTGTATGACATCTGTCCTGAAGGCCAGATGCTCTGCCTGCCCAAGTCGAGTCTTCCCCCATTCAGGCCCCCCCCTGCAGGTCCCTCCCCCCTGTGAACCCCAGGAAATCACCCTGCCAAAGCCCTCCTCTTCATCCCCAGTTCCTTACCACCAAATCCCCTTTCTGATTGACACATTCTTTCTTTAGATATGTTAATGAAATCGATGAGGTTACGGGCAGTCTTGCCACTGCTGTGGGAAACAGTTTGTCTCTGGGTGCCTGTTGAAGGCATCCTAGCTCATCCATGTCTTAGCATTTTGTGTCCATGTTTAGTATCAACTCTCCGCATTAGAGGCAAAGTGGCCTCTCACAGACAGGCTGCAGGGGACACGGGCTGGATTCTGCAGGCCTCATATCCTGAAATTCAGCTTTTATATCCTGGCTTCAGCCTGAGATTTCATTCCTTTCCATTTTAACAAAATGATTTGTGATATTTCATTTTATTAGCTCGCTTGCTTTCATAAGTGCTCTCAATACTGATAATCATAATACATTTTCTGAAAACATAGCTGATGATGACTGCCTGTGGAGGGGGAATAAACGTGTATGGTCAGCCTTTGTGCGCCTGCTGGCCCGCTACCTGATTCTCTTCAAGTTATTTTGCATGGGTGAGGGTAACACCTGTGGGTTGACCACATAAAAATTCCAAGAGTGATGGTGTTTACGTGAGTTTCAGAGTGACTGAAAACAGACCGAAGTAGAAACAGTTCTTAAAGGGCTACAATGACCAGAGACATGCCAAGTCCTCAGTGAGCTGCGGGTCAGAGATCTTGGGATTTCTGCTGACCCATGAAGAGGGTGGAGCTTAGCTTTTCTCGAGGGCTAAAGGGCAGTGTGGAGGCTGCCAGGACAGGATGGAGAATGGGGTGGGGTGTGGGCCGCAGATGGA